GAAAGATTGAATGAGCATTGAGATCAACTTAATCTTCGTGAGTCCTTGAGCCATAGTGCTCCCTACATATAATTAGGATTTCACGTAACTGTAAATGACTATCAACATCATTCACCTTGTGATGTTTTTGTGGTTTTTTACTTCAAACCCACCATCAATGAATTTACATTTATTTATTATGCAAAGTACCTTTGATTTCAGTGTATTTCAATATTAAGTGACATTGAAGAAGAAATGCCTCCGGTTTAAAAAAATCTCAAGAGACTTTCCTGTTTGGGGGTAGAACTGAATGGTGTCAGTGCGAGCAAGATAAATATACAGAGGATATCAGTTTTTGACTGTTATTGTACAGAAAAAGGCCTGCTGAAGAATTTTTTAGCCAATAAATTTTAATCTTTACTCTTGACAAGTCTTTCTTTAAAATATATAATAAATGTTGTGGATGTTTAATGTCCAAAGAGAAGAGAAGGGACGTCCATTTTCAGAATCAGTCATAAAGGCCTCATATAACTTTATAATGCCTAGCTGTTGATGCCTTTCAAGATTAATGTTTAATACTGTGTTGTAAAAATGCAGAATAAAAATCAGTCCTTACACGAGACAGTTACAGCCTGTGCACATTTATCTCAGAAGGTCTGAGCTGACCCGCTTAGTAACTGGAGCTCTATTTTAGTGGCATGTAGGTGTTTAAAAAGTGTTTATACCATAAAGCTGCCCCCTCCAGACGACAAACCAGCTACATTCACAGTATGCTGACAGATAAACAGAGAACAACTCCCCCACTAAATACATTAAATAATGGCATAAGATTAATGTAGGACAATAATTTTAACATCAATTAAAACTATTAGTGAAAGTAACAACCTGTTTGTGTAATGCATTTCAGCTTGCCAGTCTTTTGCGACAACATTAGAAAAAATAATAAAGCAACTAATGCTTGATTAGAAACATATGCTTCTGGAATGCAAAATGAGAAGAAAGAGAATTTTTAGGTGGAGGGTTATGTTGTTTTTTTCCTAAAGTTATTCTGGTTTTTGCAGGTGAGCATTTTATCGTGACAGAATGTGAAAGAATTACTACATACAACACATATTTACCTTGCCTTTTATATTCAAGACTTCACTCAATCTGCTACTACCATGGAGAAATCATGTAGCCACTAACACATCCTGTCAACTTGATTCTCTACCAATTCTAGATTTCATCTGAACTTAAATGTATGGTGAGTCTGAGCTGGAGTCATGACAGCATTAAATTAACCTGGGTACAATACAATGGGAAAATATCTATTCAAAGGAACTTATTTCATTTTGTGTTTTACCCCTAGTATTATCTTTGCACTACTGCACTATTATGAGATAGTGAAATGTGAAATGTATAGGTTCTTAGAAATACATATCCAAATATATTTAAAGTGTAGAATGTTCATTTTCAAGATGAAGAAGCAACTCTATATACAATGTAATAATAGAATTAACAACAAAAATGTGCGAAACGTGTCATCAAAGAGAGAATTGAATTTTTTTTAATTAAATTTTAAAAAAATTAAATTTTTTCATATTTCTTACAAGTAGTTAATTGCAATGAGTAGAACTCTTCAAACATATTATTATTTGTGATATTAAGAAATCTATTCATTAAATTCCATTTACAAGTGAATTGAGTGGTGCTTCGGGGTCCAAGATTTTAAACTGACCAACATTTTGATGCCATGTCAAAACTGCGCCATAACGTTTTTCCTTCTCATTTGGCTCCCTCAGTTTGTGAACTACAGTTTGAAACATACTCTAGGAGCCTGGCTTTTAGCTTTGAATCACAGAAGCAAAAAGCACATCTCCAGCTGCTTCCACCTATTGATCCACTCTTACTGTGCTGAAATACTTCTTGAAGACAGTGTAGCTGGATATTAAACAAAATGATGCAACCTCTTCGGAAATCAGTGTCAAGATCTTCGAAGAGGAGGTGGAATCAGCACTTTAAAACTTTACTTGTTATTTGGGTCACACATTCCTGCATAACCCCTGAACTGCTGTTCATAGAGAAATTCAAGTTGGTACCAACTTGAAGGTGAGGGTGATCAACCCCTAAAAATTTTACTAGGGTGCTTTACAGAACTCTCCATCACTAACTACTTCAAAGTCAGGATGAGTTGTTTTTTCACAATAAAACAAAACAAAAAAACCAACAGAAAACAAAACAAAGGGAAAACAAAATCTGAATAATGTCTTTTTAAAAAGCTATTTCCGCTATTGATGCATTTCTCCTGGATATCTTGGCTTCAGTATGCCCAGGAGATGATCCCTGTAGGATGACTGACATCAAGCTGTACCTTGGTGCTCCTCTACAAACTGACAAAATGGTTTTATCTTGCATCCAGTAGGGCTACCTCAAAGAAACATGTAAAGGGAGATTATAGGTTCTGCTTTACAGGTATAAATGACAATTAATTTCGTTGAAGCCAAAGATGATTCAAGTTTAAAAGAAATGCAGTGACTAATACAGCTGAGAAAAGAAACTATTTGACTGCACGAATCCTTTTTTTTCCTGTTATGAGTTACTCTAGTAGTATATCTCTGTCCAGACCATGCCCTGCCATTGTGACTACAAGCACTTTTAGAATTCCATTTTTGAGAAAAAGCCAATCGAGTACCTCTGAACATCCCACTGAGTACTGCGACTGGGAGCTGAATCTTCTCTTTTGATGCAGGTCTGGGAAACTGATCTCTTTCTCCAGAGTTTCTGAGAGAGATGGAATGGGGAAAAAAGGAAAAAATATGCTTTTCCACAACTTCCTTCCAATATGCTGTTATGATTCTCTTTTCCATTAGTGATAGCCTCTTTCTATTACAAAGACCTATCTTCCAGTGATTACATGCAGTATATTTCACATCTGGTACTGCCAGAACGTCTTAAAATGGCATATGACAGAGTGCAAGACAAAAGAGAGATGACAGAAATCCCTCCATCACTGAAGAGTCAGTCAGGGCACCGAGCATGGTCATGGTCAAAATTTTCAGCCACCATCTGTGGATTATTGTAAGTGCAATAATCTGAGAAATGTTTTGCAAAAAGCATTAATCCTGGTAGAAATGGCTGAAAAACCCTGCTTGGGTTTTCCTTCATGGAACAGTTGAGAAGTGACAATTATAGTCTGCTTTCAATAAGAAATAATACATGATTAGTTAAGATAATGAAAAAAATAAAGAGGGATTTGCAATTTTTTAAAAATATCAGAATGTTTTAATATCACAAAGAGAAGTGGCCCTAACAAATAAATTACAGAGATATTACTTACTCCCAACAACTCAAAATGAGTTTGACTTGCTGCTTGATTTGCTCTTCATTCTTATTTGAAAACCAGTTTTATTTACTTGGATTTATTTATCATTCTTGCTTCTGTAGAAAAAGCAATTATGCCAAAAAATCCCATTAGACTGCAGTAGCTATAGTCTTTAGAGTTAATCCTCACTATTGTCCATCCACACACCGGCAAAAAAGTCTTTGGAAAGAAATGTAACTTTATGGCTTTTCTTCCAAACCACAACAAACAGGGGAAAAATACTTCATTATAATGAATTTCTCTCTCTAAATGTGGTCAAGAGAAAGATTTCATCCTTCTTGAACCAAAACAAATTATATAAGATTTTTCTTTTATTTTGACTCCTAAAATAGAGCATTACTAGGATCAGGAGAATATGACTTCAGTTTTCTCTTGGGAAAGAAATGGAAGCCCATTATTAAATATCACTGCTATATGCATGTTTGAGAAAAAAAAAAAAATTCTTTCTCAAGTCCAGCTCTCCATTCCTAATTTGGTTTTGATAATTGGATCTAACTTAGTACTTCCGTACTGGCATAAGTCCTGTTTCTGATACTTATTTTTTTCCACATGGATAGAAATACACAAATTAACTTCATCAAAATAAATCTCTACCTATAGACCTTCTAACAGGAAAAGGCATTTTTTGTACCTGTCTTGCTCAGAGAGGTATATGAAATCATATTATTTTCCTATTTTTCTTATTCTAAGTTGTATTTAAACTATACAATATAGCTTCCCTTTTGTATTTATCACAGTTTCTCTTTAAATCTTTTAAATTTTGGCTTTCCCCTCCTCCCAAAGTTACACTGTATTGGCATTTAAATCAAGAAAATTAACATTTCCCTATCACCATGAAGTAACAAGATGCAGCCCTTTGATAGCAAGCACTTTCATGTCCCATTAATCCATATACTCTAAGGAGTTTGTTATAATAACATTGGAGGTTGTTTAATTGAGTTGATTCATTGCATACTTTGAAGAACTGGCAGAAATCACTATGAGTTGTCAGTGGTGCCACTCCAATGCTGAGCTGATCACAGTAAAAGGTGATGTGGATGTCAGGAGGACACCTCTCTAGAGTGGAGGTTTCTAACACCATGATGCCGTTACAAAAACCAGTAGCTCATAGAGCCTACTACCACTCTTGCTGCCCCAACAACAACAAACGTGCTTTGATTTTTTTGTGGGTCTTAACAGCTTATCAGCTCTTTAAGCCTCTTTTGCACTCCATTTTTTACTATATAAGAACAGAAACACCTTAAGCTCAACAAGTAGTGGGGAAGCTTGTAAATTCTGAAATGAGTATTTCTCATGTGTAATAATAGGGCTACAGCATCTATTTCTTCTGTGATTTCAAGCATCTTCAAAGAGAGACACAATCACCTTCTTGCAATGAGTAAGTTGTCTTTTTCTCTTCCTTTACAACATGATAGTGTATAAAAAGTCGTTAGGGTCTTTTTCCTAGCCTATATTCCTTTTTCACCTCGCATCAGACTTGAAGTGACTTAGGGAAGAATGTGACACACACAACACAGATCTCTGAGGGAATTTTAAATTTTAAAAATTCTTCATGTTAAAAAAAAAAAAATACACATTCCAAAAACCCCCAGGCCACCAACTGCACCACAAAGAACATGGAACACCAGGTTGTTATTGAAAGCCAAAAATAAACCAGACCAACTACTGATTAAATATTTATTAATAAAAAAATCTTAGCATAAAAAAAGCTCATTCTGTACACTTAAAGGACAAAGATGAAACTATACAATAGCAGTAAAGTAAGACATATAAGTTCATTTAAAGACTCTTGAAATTATGCTTTCAGAATTGTGTTCTTGTCTGTTGTCACCTACCATGCATTTATTGTCTTCATGGAGACTGTAAGCCTCCTGAAGAAGCCACTTGATACACTTTGAAGTTATGCACAGCCATGACAACCATTAACTCATAGTAAAAACATGTTGGTTACATTAATATTTGCTACTGTTAGTTCCTCCAGTGATGGACAAACATCAGGCAGGTTTACTGATAATACATCAAAGAGTTGCATAGATAATTGATATAAATTTTATCATCCAGCCAAATATGTTATTTGCCATATTCTCTGATGCATTTCAGTCATACCCAGTAGAATAAGTAATCTGATGTACTAATTAGCTTCATTTGGTCTTCAACATTGCAATATTACAGTGTCTTTCAAGAGCACGAATCACAACAAAGGTTGACTTGGATAATAACAGTGTTATTACCTTGAGTGGAACATTTTGCCAGATCTAGCACATAACTAAGCTGACAGAGAGCAGAATACTGATAGAATTAGTCACCTAAGAACAAGTAGCTCTTCAAGCCACAACAAAGTGAGTGAGAGAAATCTAAAACAGAGCTGAGAGTATGAACTCTGATTAAGATTGCTTTTCTCCTTGGAAAATGTCAGTGTCCACTAGGATTACTGGTTCCTTGTCCATCTCCTATAATCTGTCCTCAGAAACCAACATGCATAGATATGAATGAAAGTTGTACCTGGGTATTTGAGGTTAGGATCTATGCATCCTGCTTGACCAAAGAGACCAAACAGATTACTGTTTCTTCGTGTAACTGGGCTTTCTAAAATCAAAGCAATTGACAATCATTCTTGTAAACTTACTCTCTGTAACTGGTACACATATACTTGATGGAAGACATGTACCATATAACAGTCCTACTCCAGACTATAGATCTGAATCTTTGTATCAGTGTGACTGCCTGTAGAGCTGATATCTTAAAGGTAACTTAACCCATTGTAAAGTCATCCAATACAGATTCTTCTCCTAAACCTACAATCTTACCTTTATTGTAATTTTTTCTCTAATTATTCAGTTCATCTGGATATTTAATTCTGGTTACTTCCATTAGAGAGACATCTCAAATTATACAATTCTGTAAAGAACACGGTGGGCCATGGACATATCCATTAAGCAATACCATTTAAGCTACTGACAAATATTTTGAAAATACACTTTTCCACTTTCCTAAAGGTTTTGTTTTCTTCTTGTAGCTGAACCCAGACGTTAGGAAGATCCCAAGCCTCTTGGAAAAACAGGTCTGTATATAGCATCTCAGTCAGTAAGGTCACCACGCTGTTCTTTCAACTGTTGGTACTGCAGAAATACATATAAATCTGTTATGAGTAGAATTTTCATTGTATTTTCCTCAAATATATTTATCTGTTTAAGTATTTTCAAACACATTCATATCATCTTTTTAACATAAAGTAAAATGGGTAAACTGTATAAATGGGTGTGCAAGTTCTATGGGTAGAAGATTAAATAAATAGCACCATAAATGTGAAACAGTAACAGACTGTAACACCTTCATAATGTATAGTAGCATATGATTCCATTTATTAAAATGAAAACACGGGGAGCTTACACTCCAAGTGTAAGTCAAGAAAAGAGCATTGCACCCTGCAGAGGGTTTTAGTGGATTATGACTTGTTTAGTAACACTTTAAGCAAAAGGAAAATGCAGCAAGTTATCCCCACCATTGTAAAAACAGAACTCACCTGCTTGCTGATAGTGTTTTTCTGCCAACAGGTGGTGATGGTTCACTATGGAAGAAGCTTTTTATCCACCAGTATTTATCAATTAAGTCAGGTAACCCTGCCAAAGGAGGAAAAGACCACATTATTAGGTACTGTCTGAATAATGAACACGCAAAACTGAAGGCTGTTTCAAAGAAGGGAAGAATACCATGAAATATTTTTTCCTGGTCTGTAACGTTCGTGGCATCTGAACAGCAGGAGGAGCTGGAAGAAACACTGGATTCAGAGTTCAGTCTTGCTGTTCATGGAAAACAGAGACACACATAATTTAAAAAGTGCTTTGAGAGCCTACACTATTTCTACGTCAAGAGTTTTTCAGACCTGCTGCTATATCAAAGGAATCAAGTTTACTGAGCTACAGAGTATAACTTCTATATTATATACACCATTCTACTACAGTTGTTTTTATAAAAACTTTTATATCAGTTGATGTCTCAGTCTACTTATGCTTCACTTAAAAGCATACTGAGATCTATTTGGATAACTTTCACCAAAACTGAAAAAGCTTATGATTCTCCACATTGCTATCAAAACAAGAAAGTCTATACTTGAACATTCAAGTCCAAAACAACCTAATTGCTATACTTTCCATTGTAATACAACCATATACTACACTCACACAACAGTGTCCATCCTGTACAATGGAATCCTAATACACCACGTGTACTCTCAAACTAGTAATTATTTCACATATTTAGAAACAAAATGTGAATTGATTTTGTGTTGTGTTTAAGCTTGCAAAGTAAACACGAAGCACAGGTAGAAGCTGTGAAGAGGTGAATAACCAGAAGCAAATGCTCATTAACACTCAGTTCCTTGGTATGAAAACCTCTCCAAGAAATTAAAAGCTCCTGTACAAACACATGTCTTTGCCTCTAGCTTATCCAGACATCATCTGAAACACTTTCTGACCTTTCCCGAGTGCCAACAACCCGGGCATCTCCTAGGGAGAGGCTCGGCGAGCTCAGCCTCCCTCCTCCACAAGAGTTCCTTAGTCCGAGAGAAGGGAAGAGGGGGAGAAGAACGGTGGGTGTGTTTGGGGACGACAGGCAGCTCCCAGCCCCCCTGAAGACTCACTTCTGTAGTACTGGTTCTTGGCCAGGAGGCAGCCGGCGGAGGGCACTGAGGCCATGGCAGCGGCGCAATTGGGAATCCGACCCTTTTCCGAGAGGAACCCGCGGGTGAAAGGATGCACTGTGCCGCCGGCAACCGGAGCCGCCCCTATATGGGCCACGGCGGGCGGCCCGCCCAGGGGGCCGTGGGGCGGGACGGAAGAGAGCGAGGGAAGGAAAGAAGGAGAGAGGGAGGAGGAAAAAGAGGAGAAGGAGAGCGAGAGCCCCTGGCTGCTGTCGCCTAGCCCTTGCTCGGGTCGTCCCGGAACGGTCGGTCCGCGGAGAGCCCCGCGTTCCCGCCCCGATCCCCTCTGTCTCTCTTCCTGCCTGTCACCTCTGAGTACTTCTCTGGAGTGCCACAGGCGGGGACTAAGAGCTACAGCTTTAGTTATTCTCTATGGGGAATGGGAAGAGAGGAGTGAGCAGACAGGCATCTGTTTCGGTAGAGATTTTTGGCTATGTCAAAACATGGCTGTTTAGAATATGACTGTGCATATACACTAAAGAAAGTGAGGCCAGAGGAACGATGTCCACTCTCACAGTAATGAGCAAAACTCACGATCACACAGTCTTGGTAAAAAACTTGGTAATCCAAAATAGATAACAAAATAACTTTTACTTTCCCACAGATAAATGCACAGCTCCTTTACATTGTTGCAATCCGATATCTTGGCAAAACTTGTCCCACAGTGTGTGTCCTTATCTTTTGTAATGATCAACAGAAAAAGTAACAAACAGCTTTGGCTATTTGACTTTCTCCTGCTCCACAACAAAATGTTTGTTCTCTTTTTTTTTTTTTCCCTAGCAGGAGCTGTGGGTAAGAACACAGCCATATGTGGTGTGAGATACCATGTCACTGCCACGTATCTGCTTAAATACTGCGTTCTATCTCAAATGATAAGGACATAGTTCATATTTGTAAGGGTATAAACCATACCACAGGGAAACTTCCTGTAAAACAATACTCATACAGCAGTTGTAACAGATAAGCATTGTGTGTTTTCCTAGGCCTTTTTATTGACTTTCTGTCATGACAACATTGTGGTCTTTCCCAAGCAAAACTTGAAGGCTCATCTTTGTGAAATCTGCAAGACTGACACAGAAAATACTTTGCAGATGGTTTGGTATCAAGCACTAGCACCAGTTACCTCATATGTTCATCTTGTTATGTCAAAAAGCACTGTAAGAATAGGAAATTACATCCCTACTACTTGGTAATGGACACCTAAATGTAACTGAACTGTTAGCTTGTCATATAGCAATCACCTCTTTTCCTGTCTTAATAGTGAATTTCCATTTTGAAATGGTCAACATTTCTTGTTCTATTTGGGGGCAATAAACATTGATGCCACCATAAATGCCCTCACACTGAGCATTCTGTATAACTGTCAGATCCATTCCTGAAAGAAGAGAAGCTTCTCCCCCAAGAACCATAGGAAGTGCTCCTCTCGGATCGTGGTAGTGGGCATTTGTAGTGATAGCACTGTGTTCTAGACAGTGTTCTAGTAACATTATCAAGTATAGCATCTGTCATTCTCTTTCAGCTCTAAAATCCTGTTTAAATCTACTCATATGTTTGTCAAGGACACTATTAGAAAAGCTGTCTAGGCTTTAACATACCCATGGTCTCGGAACTGTATTTGGCAAGAACACTGACTTAAATAGTACTCTTGCAAACCCACAAATATCCATCCACTTTGGAGCCCTGCCAAAATACTCAAGAGCTGGGGAACACCAGGTCTGTGAAATTTTTAATTGCTTCCCTGCTGCATGCATATTATTTTACTATATCATTTAACATACATGGCTGTTTACCAGTTTTGTTCCGGAGACCTCTTCCATGCATTGCACTGGAATAGAAAGTACTTATTTAATGAGAAATTTTCCATCACTTCTCTCACTCGATCTGGCATTATGTTCTATCTCTTAGATTTTCTTCAAGTACGAATGTAGAATTTTCTGAATGTAGAACTACAGATTTCACCAGAGTTTTTTCTTACATGGTCATTCTGGCAGTTTTTTTTTTACATGGTCATTCTGGCAGAGTGTTTCTAAAACACTGGCACATTTATTTTAAAGCACTGCTACAAAACCAAGGTATGCTATTATCTTCAGTTAACACATGGGAATTCTGAGATCCAAAGGAGATAAGATAAAAGATTCCAGAAATCTTAGGTGTCTCATATGAGAGCTGTCTAGGCCTTTATTTTTTTATAACTATTTAGCACTATGCCATACTTCATTTACCCTCTTATAACTGTCATTCACTTCAGATCCAGATTTAAGTACTCAGTGTGTTGATAAATCAGATTCTCATCAGACATTGAAAAAATGGTTAGTGGCTACCTATGATAAATGTAAGTAACTCACATAGCATCAGTTACAAACTCAGGGGCAAGGTTACAATTTAGCTTTCAAGACAGCATTCAATTACCTTGTCCACTGACCTGTTCTTTTCTCCCTGGAAACCTTCGTTGCATCACTACTCAAATTCTGTCACAAATATGGATGAAATCCTACTAAATGCCTACCATAATCTCTTTAACATTACAAACTCAGTTCATATCCCTGTTTTATCCAAAAACAGGCAAGGGCCCTATGAAATAAATATTACATAATCTGCAATTTTATAAAAATGTATTTACAGAACACATACATTTCCAGACTTTTGCCTGACTAATATTGTGACCTTAACAATAGTGTTCATTTAACATTTGTGTATGCTTAATGATAAAATGGCCACAACACTGAATTATATGTGATCCCATGAAACACAGACACTTATCAAAACAGTAACCTAAATTTAAAAATTAAATCAATATGACCCATTGAATAAATAGGTCTCCCACCTAATTCTGCCAGGATTACCTGGTATAACCCTTTATTAGACATTAAAAGTAAAACATCACAGTCACAACAACAAAACCAAACAAACAGTTTATATTAAGCTTGACCTTAAAGCAGACCTGTTAATTATTCACTAGACAAGGTTTATCTAATAAACTTGCCTACTCATTCACTTCCTGGAATATCTGTAAGCATGATGCCCATCTTTCTGGGGACTTGTTTTGGGTGTTTTCTTTTCATGAACTTTTGTGAAAATTTTTTACTTTTCCTTGTTACTTAAACTTCTGTAAGAGTAGTGTGGCATCAGAAACTGTAGAGTGCTGCTTCACTGCTGTGTTCTTTGAACGATTGCACGAGTACTCTAATAATGTCTTGAGAGATGTGAACAATTTGAGTGAAAGTATCTTTCCACATGGATATGCAGAAAGATACAGTTTTGGAACATGAGGATGGAGTACTCTTGCACAACAAGCTTCTGGAAGAGCAGATTTTGCATCTTTTTATTAATAAGTCTTATTACCCATCTGCAATTAGCATTTCAATAAAATTTTTAAAAGAAATTATTAATCATTATTAATCATTCTTATTTTAAGGGAGTTGTGTCGTAAAATGACTCTCCATGAGAAGACTGAACTTTCCTGGGTAGTATTTTGTAATGGATGTGTTAACATTTTTAGAGAATTTTCAGAAATGTTTCCCTCATGGATCTTTCAGTGACTCTAATTATTTGCTATCTCAACAAATTAATTTGCATACCTGTTCTGTGAAATTTTGAAAGGAGTCTGTAAAAGAGGCTTACATTAAAGAAATTAAGTCTTCCACTATATAAAGTAACAAAACTTTGCTATGCAAAAATTATTATTGAAACCTGTTTGGTTTGTTAGCTACTTCCAAGGACCAGTGTCATCACTTACCATTTTCATTCATTTGTTTTACTCTTCAAATGTTCCTCCAAGTCAAACAGCTCAGCAGGAATGCAGGGCTCATCTATCAAAACCAAGAGAATTTGAGGTATTGATGAAGAACTAAATGGCAGAATAAGAGTTGGGAGGGGAATGGAAATTTATATTACATGCAGCCTGCAAAAGAGACACAGGGTCATAAAGCTTCTTGGGAGAATCTGAGCACAGAAGGGACAAAAAAGGCCTTTTTCTTCACCACTGCAGTGTGTGGCACCATTGCAAATCATCAGCTTTGTAGTAATGACCACCCTTGGTAGTGAAAGTGGTTCCTTACCGGGAGTTCTGGCACTTGCATTCATTGTTATTTTAGGAGCTTACTCTGCTGCAGTAAATGGGAACTCACACCTAAGAACAAGAAAATCACAGTTATCTTAGCCCTACATATGTTACAAAGGTCTGCTGATTTAATGAAAGCCATATTATCAGGAGGACCAAATAGCCTGGCATAGAGGGCTCATTCTTGTAACATCTTGTTCTCCTTTTGTCTCCTCAAAAGCCACTATAGAGTAAACACACACAGTATGTCCTTGTATATCTCCATTTTCCTTATTGCATTAAACACATCCAGCATGTCATTCATATGTCTCAGATACCTGCTCCATTTTCTACTGGGACATCTGAAGAGACATACAGGTGTTAATCCACTTGCAAATCGCACCAGCATGCAGAGGAGGAACGCTGGCTGGGTAGGACTTATCACACAACAACATCAGGTCAGATCTTCAGTTCATCATACTTGTTATTTCCTTCTTCTCCCACAATTTAACCAGTTGGCCTCAGAAGTGTAAACACCATTAGGACTGCCCCAGGGACTCCGCCATTTTTTCTAGAGTTTCACACGCTTAGAATTTGTCTGAACTAGTAATATAAATACACTTGGTACCATTCTTTGGCCCTGAAGACAACTGGTATAGAATGGTCTCTAGCCACATTGTTTTATACTGTGAAGTAATTTGTTTACATCCAGAATGTTTGTGAAGAATTGTCTCTTGCTTGTGTTAAATCCCATGCTGCTTGGGACTTTTTTGGGAAGAAACCAGAGAAAACCCTAAGCCATTCCAGGACCTTTTCAATATTTTAATAGCATGGACAATCATGTTCTGTTCCCTGACAAGGTACCCTGGCATTAATTCTAGGGTTAGTTAATTTGATGTGATGTCACTTCTGCCTAGTGTAAGAGATCCAGAGCCCAATAAGCTGGCAAACAAATGAGTCTCTTCTGGGCATCCATCTGCAAACATACCATGTTGAACATTTCTGTGTAGATGGCTAATTAGGGTCCAGTTATTGTATTTACTTAGATCTTAATCTAATACAGTTTCCACCTCCACAAATGCTGCTGGTGGAAAGTCTTTTTCTCAGGCTGCTACAGTGCCAAGTCTTAGTCCAGCAAGAGCTGGAGCACAGTCCCATTCAGACAACCACGAGGGTTTTCTGCCTTAATTATGCAACATGTTAACAATAAAAAAATGGAGAACAGGTACTGCCAATCTCTGCTTCTGTGACAATTTAGGAGCAAAAAAAAAAAAAAAGAGAGAGAAAAGAACCATAAAAGCCACTTCTTTGGGAAACCATTCTTCCCAGTCTCAGTCTGAACCGACACCAGTGCTGAGCTTCAAAGCATGACATACTGATACTACACTTCAAGCTGACTTCATGAGAAAGGAAAGGTCGCCAAGCTGAGTGCTTCACAAGATAAAAGTGCCCAGCATCCCAGCAGAATTTACTCTAACTACAAACTGATCTGACTGGCAATGAAGGCATAGTTGGCAGCATTTCCTGGAGCTGAGGAAAGACAATGAGGGACTTCTTCACATCCCCTTGTCTACATATCCTCATGTTTATCTCTGGAAGCTCTTGTTGACATGACTTGTTATTATGTGATGTACTGTGCATCTTATCTGCATGCTGTTGTTTTCCTATCTTGTTTTGCTTTCCTAAGTTTGTAATTGGTCTTTGACCTAGCTTTCCCTTATCCTGTTTGGATAAACGTGTTTGAACTGTTAAGAGTCTGTTGATCTATCTTGCCTTTCAAAGTAATTCTAGGGCTCCTAAGGCTTCCTCTCCTTTTGTGACCAGCTCCTACAAGGCAGCACAACAATCTCTCCTGAAATTCAGGGTCCCAAAATAGAAGACAGCATAAAGAACAGAGTGAGAAACTCCAAAAGGATGAGAAAGGCTTTCAGAAAAGGAGAAAAAAATATAACCCAGATAGAGACTGCATTTTTGAACTGGAAACTTAGTTTTAACACTTAGAAGTATCTTGTTCAGGTATGCCAGAAACCAAGATCTGAAGGTCGCAACCTTTTGTCAGACTAGCAGAAAATTACTCTTTCCATTCAAGACAGTAAAAATGTTATATTTCACAGAATCATAGAATAGGTTGGGGGCAAACATAGCCATGAGGGAAGACTCCTAATTGGAGATTTTATCTTTCTTTTCAGCAAATCCAGAGTAACCATAGAGAACAGGGGCCTCTTCTTTTGAATGTGCTTCATAGTTTCAGGATGTGAATGTGGCAGACAGATTTAAATAAACAAACATACTACAAATTCTACAATGAAAACCCACAAACATCCCACCAAATTGGGGCCATAATGTGGATGTAATTAGTTTGTCTGTGTCAGGATATACTGTTTACATGCAATTGAGAACCTAAGGTCATATTCACTACTGCTAAACCAGTACAGATAAAGCTCAAAACAGTATAAGTACAGGTTTACAGTCCTAGAAACACAGAAGAGGAAATGAAAGACGGCAAGGGATCCATTAATCCAGAGTTTCTCCAAAACTTAATAGATCATACACGTCCAAAAAAATACAATGCTGCAATTGAAACTGTATAATAAGCCTTTCATAATTGTGCACTGCTCAGCATTAACAATTCACAAATCTTGTGATACAGATTTCTCAGAGGCTTTGCTATAGAAGTTTTTCCTCTGCAACACAGGCAGCAGGTAGGAGGAAATAAGGGATGACAGTCAGCCTTAGCTCACATTCAGAGGGTAGTGGTAAATGACTGAGTCCCAATCGACATCAGTGACAAGTGGTGTCACTTAGGGGTCTGTATTTTGACCAGTTATTTAATATCTTCATTAATGACAGGCGAAGGAATCAAGTGCACTCTTGACAAATTTGCAGGTGACGCCAAGCTTAGTGGTATGGTTGACACACTTGAACGACAGGATGCCGTCCAGAGACACCTGGAAACTTAGGGGTGACCTAATTGTTGCCTTCTGGTACCTGAAGGGAGCCTACAAGAAAGATGGAGAGGGACTTTTCACAAGAGAATGTAGTGACAGGACAAGGGAGAATGGCTTCAAACTGAGAGTAGCTTTAGATTAGATATTAGGAAGAAATTCTTTACTGTGAAGGTGGTGAGACACTGGAACAGGCTGCCCAGAAAAGTTGTGGATACTCCATCCCTGAAACTGTCCAAGGCCAAGCTGGATGTTGATCTGAGCAACCTGGTATAGTGGAAAGTGTCCCTGCCCATGGCAAGGAGTTGGAACTTGATGATCTTTAAGGTCCATTCTAACCCAAACAATTCTATGATTCTATGATGTTTTATACATATATTTAATTCTTTCTTTCTGAAAACAAAATACTGTCTATTTAATAACACAGTACCACTACTGTAGTTGATAATAGAATGAAAATTGTTGTCTGCAGATTGTCAGCTCAAGAGAAGCAATAGATTTGTTGCTTTTGACTAAAAGTTTTCATTTACAATGATGATAATGGTTATGATTGAATGATTATTTGTTGACATGAGTAACTGTCACAAGTTCTTTCCATGTGAAATTGATATGGTAACACAGATAAAATTCCCCTGTGCAACTGATATTGCTTGGATCCATTTTGACAGCCTGAGCAAATGACCGAAGAAATGAGGAGATGCTATCATTTCACATCTAATCCTAATTGTTTTAGAATAAGAGTAATAAGAATACCACGTAAAACAGGAGATTTGCGCTGCCAGCATCCAATGTGGTGCTAATAATGCCAAGGTTGTGGTTTCAATCCGTGCATGGGTCATTTGCTTAACAGTTGGACTTGATGATCCTTGTGGGTCCCTTTCAACTCAGAATATTCTGTGATACTCTGTCTATAAAAAGAAGGCCATCAGAGACTTTTATGTGGAAATAGATATATGCTTTTCAAACATTTGCCTTTTTTTGATACCTGCAATTATCTACAAGTCCCATTAAATGCTTGAAGATCTCATTATCCACAAATGAGCCATGCATCGTCTTGACCTACTCTGTGCTTCCAGAAGGCAGGCTCTCTTCAGGACAGAAAATCTATGTGATCAAATCCTTCATTGTCTGTCTTCATCCCTGACAAATTCTGTAAATTCTCAGTCAATATAAAGTATCAAGCTCAAATGATTGAGGCTTCATGTCCGCATCATTATGGGTTATGGGTTTTTTTTTCTCATTTTGTAACAAACTTTGGTTCTGTTTTTGTAGTGCTTCACTTGCTTGTATAACCAGAGAAAAGTGGGAGCAAAAGAAGCTGGTAGAAGTGCTGGATAAATTTTACATATCATTGTCAGAACAAATGCAGATAATAGATTATTTGAACACAGCAAGAGAATCTAGAAATATCTAGAACAGGGTTATGCAACTCTGAAAAAATCTCCTCCACTTGGTTCACTTGCCTCCACTAGATTTTCCAGCAGCTAAGATCCTCCCTATCAGTCCATATCAGCCCATATTTTATAATTGGCTAAAAGTATTCATATTCACTCCTTCACTTTGGAGAAAATGAACTGCTGTCAGCAGTTTAGGGTTGTTATCAATCCTGCAGCCATGAGTCATCACTTGTTACTACAACAGCTACTGCCAATCTGAGAAAGAACTTCTACCACATGACATTTGACCAATCCACTTTAAGCCCTTTCAGGACAGCCAGAAAGGTACTGGCCTGCAGTTTGGGAAATAATTGTTAAAAAGAGCAGCTTACCATTATAGCTACAGTTTTCTTACACGTCACCTTTGGGAAAAAGTAGTTCTGTGTGTCTGAAAGAGCTTTTGTATTGGAGCTGGGTCATGCACAGCAAGGTTGAAGTTAGGCAAGCTGCCAGAACAAAGTCATTTACTCAGCATTGGCTTCAGCTCTCACACATCTGCTCCATAACTCACCAGCTTGGTGCTGTCAGCCTTTGGAAGGACCAGTGCCTGAACAGAATACAAGAGGAGTATTTCTAAATACTTCTGAGGATCTGGGTACAGGTATTTTTTGATTTAACAACAGAGCTCTAGCTCTGTAATCTCATTTGGGTGACCCAAACACCTGATGTTAAAGCTTTTTTTATGAATATTATTGGAGACACTCATTCTCAAAAACCCACTTTTGTATTTTATTTCCTAAAACCTGTAACTTTTTAATAAAATGTTGTTTCCTTATTAGCTCATTAAAGAAAATATTCACAAATAAGTGTAGTTCAAATTCAATTGTTTACATCTTTGAACATATTCTTTTACGCACAATTTGCAATCTGCAGAATTTCAGGCAAATGCAGACAAGATAGTTGGACATCAGTCACAAGAGGTATATAGAGCAGGAACAGCTAATCAGAGATAAATTAAAAGCCAACAAGTATGAACAAATCCTGTGCTCAGACACTTAAATTTTGCATGTAATTACCGTAATTTTGTCTGTATATCACAGATACAGTTTTACAGGTTTTGATTTCTCTGAAAGTGTAGTACTATAATAGAGGCATAAAATATGATCTGAACCAAACAGTATTTCTGAGTATGAAAGCAATGATTCAGATACAGTTCACTAACCTAATTAATTTCAACTGTAACCCAGTCCAAAATTATATCCTTTTCTATTACACCATAATGACTTCTTTAATTTACCAGAAGTACAAAAAATGAGCAAAAGTAAGATCAAAAAATCTTACTGGTTTTATCACAAAATATAGTTGCAAAATATTGTTCTAACAGTGATTTGTATCAAAGTGTAAGTGATTTTATGACTTTGAAATTGATAGGAACTTTGATAGTTCTGAAATTGATAGCATTTTGAAAATTTTAAAAGCACTGTCTCCTTTCTCTTGACTCATTTATTTAGGGTTTCTCAAATTAATTTTTTAAACTCAAGCACTTAGTCCATGTCAAACCTTTCATTTTTGTTTTACTTAAGTAAGCTTAGAAATTAGGAGCTAATTGTGTAATTTGGTCCTGTCAATGCCTCACTACAAATATTGGAGCTCAAAAACAGGAGCTTGAACAAGTGCAGGCATCTGCCAAAGGAGGAGGGTTAACAAGAATGACCAAGGTGGCTCTGGGAGCACCTCAGAAGCACAAGAGTGTCTATGAAGCAGCTGTGTTACCAGTGAGCAAATTCCTCTCCCTGTTGTTTCCCTACTGTGCTCTTCCAGGTACTAAACGAAATTTGGCTCACCCTGTTCTCTGAACTGGCAGCAAACTCAACTTGAAAAGAAACATCTCTTGGCTGCCTTATGGTTCCAAATTCCATCTTCTGCAAATTTGCATCTTGCCAAAGGATCATTATAGTAATTTTTGTCATTTTGGGCTTGTAGAAGGAAAAACCACAACCTTAATAGGCACCTAAAAAACCTCACCTTTTTTTTTAGTAGAGTTGAGATCTGGAAGCAAGTATTTGAACCTTAAGAAATCTGTAATAAACCTCAGAAATGCATCATTAGCACTCGTGTTTTCTATATATGTACATATCTGAGCTGCATGGAAATCTGACACACAGATATTTTCCTGTTCAGCTATTTCTTTCATGGACCTGTAGTGCTGCAAGACAAGCAGGCAGAATTAACCCCTGTTGGCACCATTCCCATGATTATAGTAAGGAGGCCCTAGGCTGCAGTGCCTTGTCTGTGTCTGCAATTATTCCCTTAGTTTGCCACAGGTATGTTCCTGCTTTGGCAAGGACGAAGTCCTCAAGGCCATGATTGCAATCATGTAAGCTCTTATATCTCCCTTGAAAGATGTCTTTTGCTCTTGCACAGACTACAAGGCCTGTAGGACCACTTCTTGCTGCTACCTTACAGCATCTGCACTGTGATCACTGTATTACAGCAAGCTACAGCTTGTGAGACTGACAAAGGAGAACAGAGGCGGCAAAAAGCTCCAGGTATCTTCAGATTCAAGGACGGTAAAACCTATCCCCCTGTATAGTTTCTGGAGGCCATTTGGCTACTGGATCTCCTAGACTGCACTCTTCAAAAGTTGTGTCAGCACCAACTGAAACTTTGATGGTGACATCTGTCATGCTTTTAGTGCATCAGAAAACCACAAACACAGTTTTTCCAAGTCTTAATAGTTCTGGATGTGCATCATGAGCCTCTCCTGATGATTTACATTCAC